ATCAAATTAAACTTTTTCCAAGTCAAATTCAACCATTTCCATTTCAAATTAAACCTTTTCCATCCAATTCAAATTCAACCGTTTTCATTTCAAATTAATGTTTTAATTTTTTGTAAATTTTACATATTTTTTTAAATCATGGCCATCTCCTTCCCCTCTCCAATATGAATGTCTATTATTATGCTCTCCTAAGTAGAATTTTCACTTACGGATATCGATTTATTGTACCTACTCGGATTTATTAGGGACTATATTATGCTGTCCTGTACCTAGTTTATAAAATAACCTCCATTTTAAGATTACGCCACTGCGTTTCGACTTATTTAAGTTTTTTTGATTTATTCGATACGAGGGTGTATTCTTATGTTTTCCGAGCTGTAAATTTTGAAAATGACATTCATTTTTTGTTTATGCCACTGTGTTTTGACTTATTTAAGTTTTTTTTAATTTATTCAATATAAAGGTCTACTTTTATGTTTCAGAGCCGTAGATTTTGAAAATGCCCTCCATTTTATGATTATGCCACCGCGTTTCGATTTCTTTAAGTGTTTTGAATTTTTTTCATAAATGGGTGTATTCTTATGTTTCCGAAGCCATAGATTTTGAAAACGACCTCCATTTTAAGATTAGGCCACCGAGTTTCGATTTCTTTGATTTTTTTCATATGAGGGTGTATTCTTATGTTTCCAGAGCCGTAGATTTTGAAAACGACCTCCATTTTAAGATTAGGCCACCGCGTTTCGATTTCTTTAAGTGTTGTGAATTTTTATCATAAAAAAGTGTATTCTTATGTTTCCGGAGTCGTAGATTTTGAAAATGAACTCCATTTTAAGATTACGCCTCTGCGTTTCGACTTATTCAAGTTTTTCGAATTTATCCCATTTAAAGGTCTACTTTTATGATGCTGGAGCCTTAGTTTTTAAAACGACTTACATTTTAAGATTAGGCCACTATGTTTCGGTTTTGTTAAGTGTTTTTGATTTTTCCTTCGAATAAAAAACAAAATACGAAGGATTAATTTATTTTTCAATAAATAAATAAAAATATCTAATCGAAATAAATAAAATATGTGTTGTCTCATTTTTAATTTAATTTTTTAGTTATCTTTTTTAATGTTGTGGTCTCCTGTAACAAAATTATGAGATTTCGAACAATTAGCTGAAAAATCTCAATACGCTAGGTTAAATTTATTTTAGTTTAGGCTTTTTAGTTTGTGTTCTGTGGTTAATTTAACTTTAGCTTCATAATATTTATTTATTTATTTATTCATACTCGAAAACATATTGATGAAACTTTGTATTGAAAACATCCAAAATGAAGCCTAATTAATCGAGATGCAGCAGCTTAATCATAAAATGGAGATTAAATATTAGATAAATGTAAATATTAAAGATTAGAAAAATTTCAATAAGTCTCCGATAACATAAGTAGATCCTTATACCGAAAAAGTAAAAAAAAAACTTTCATAATCCAAAACACAGTGGCATAAACTTGAAATGGAGTCATTTACAAAATGGGGGAAATCTACTGCTCCAGAAACATAAAAGTAGACCTCTATATTTGATAAATTCGAAAAACTTGAATAAGTTGAAACGCAGTGGCGTAATCATAAAATAAAGCTCGTTTTCAAAATCAACGGCTCTGGTAAACATAAGAATACACCCTCATATGAAAAAAATCAAAGAAATCGAAACTCGGTGGAATAATCTTAAAATGGAGGTCGTTTTCAAAATCTACGACTCCAGAAACATGAGAATACACTCTTTTATGATAAAAATTTGAAACACTTAAGGAAATCGAAAGGCGGTGGCCTAATCTTAAAATGGAGGTCGTTTTCAAAATCTACGGCTCCGGAAACATAAGAATACATCCTAATATGAAAAAAATCCTAAAAACTCAAAGAAATCGAAACGCGATGGTGTAATCTTAAAATGGAGGTCGTTTTCAAAATCTACGGCTCCGGAAACATAAAAGTAGACCTTTATATTGGATAAATTCTAAAAACTTAAATAAGTCAAAACACAGTGGCCTAAACACAAAATGAATGTCATTTTCAAAATTTGCGGATCGGGAAACATAAAAATACACCCTTATATCGAATAAATAAAAAAAAACTTAAATAATTCGAAACGCAGTGGCGTAATCTTAAAATGGAGGTTATTTTCAAAAACTACTCATACGATAACAGACCCACCCATAAAAAAATTAAAGATAATTAAATAACTAAAAAAAGGTTGAATTTGAAATGGAAAAAGTTTAATTTGAAATGGAAAACGTTGAATTTGACTTGGAAAAAGTTTAATTTGACTTGGAAATGCTATAAATGATATCCAGGAAGCACGTGGTTTATAATAATCGGACGCGATCACAATCACTCCCCCTTCATCAGAATGGTTGGCAACCTTTTGCAGATCTCTCTATCCTGTTGTTCGTTTTTCCAGGATAGGTTTATTAGCCCTGTGCCCAACCCTCAATCTGGAGGACCAAAGGAGCAATGTTATTAGACACAGGGGTCGCTTTCACCTTCCTGTGAATCTTAGGGTACTCACACAGGGGGGGGAGGTGAATCTCACCATATGCGAATCGAACCCGCGCGTAGTGGTTTAAGCAATCAAGTAGGTACTGCACTAATTTATTTATTATTAATTATTTATATTTTTTATCTTTTTTTTTTGTTTATTAAATCCCACGAACGTGATTTAAACTTGTAGTATAAAATTTTGGAGGTGTCTTAACTCATTTGACCACTGCAGCCCTTTACTGATTTTAACTTTATTGAGTGTTTCCGTTAAGCACATCCTGACGAAATTTACTAAGTTTTTTTTGGAGTCCCCTGCTCGATTAAAATATTATACAGTTTCTGGCAGTCAATAGAATCATAAGCCTTTTTAAAATTAATACACAGCTGGTGAAAAACACCACTGTACTCTAATTTTTTCCGATATTCTCTCCAATATTTCCCGTAACGAAAATATTTGAAATTAAATAAAAATATATTTTACTATTCTGGGACTGTTGTCCCATTATAACCAATTATAAGTACAGAATGCATGTCTGGGTGGTCATAAATAAATTAAATATTTACAAAAATAGTAAATTAAAAGTAAAAATACAGAAGAGAGAGAAAAAGACAAGAAAAGTGAACATATATATATATATATAAGACAAACAAAGGAAACTAAAATAACATAAATAAACAGAAATAGTCTTTGGGGGTTCTTAGATAGTTAGTTCTCTTAGGTATATTTCATAATCAGTCAGATTGAGAAAAGAGTAGGTGTTTAAAGAGGAGAGGTTTGAAAGGGAAAACTGATTGTGCATGTCGAATATCAGCAGGGATGGAATTCCAGAGGGAAGCGGCTTGAATTGCAAAGGATTTGTCAAACGCAACAGTTCGGTGAGGAGGAAGGGGCAATTAGGGATTACAACATACTGGGAGCGACCAGTAAGGAAGGATTGAAACCAAGGAACCAATTAAGGGCGCTCGTTGAAGAAATTTAAGATCACCTGTTGGGGAGATCACATACTCAGTGAAATAAAAAAATTAAGGTTACTAATATTTTTGTTTAATTGGTCAGTAAAAGAATACCTATCACATGTATTTTATCAGACAAGTCAACCTTTATACTCAGTTTCGAGTGGATTTAATTTCAGTTGCTGCAGGACAGTCTATTGTAAATGTATTTAAGTTTGAAAGATATAACTTTTTCTGTAATATGAAATGAGTTTTGGTCAGCATAATAATGTTTATAAGATTTTGATGTAGGTAAATGTTGAGTTCAGTCTAACAGTAAAGAACGTAATTTTCATTCTACAGGAATCCCACAGTCATAGACTAAAAATATATCTAAGGGGCATGAGCCTTGAGGAGTGATTAGTGAGAGTTGGGTAATTAGGCTGAAAAGGAGTGAAGTAAGATTGTCAAAATGTAGAAATAAGGATAATTAGAGTAGAAAGACTGAGGTACATGTTAAGTTAAGAACCAACTTGCCTCATACCTGGGGATCGTGCTGATGTTACGGCTGCTGTGGTGGTAAATCTATCAACGGTGGTTGCCCAGCAAGGTTGATATGAGGTCCTAAAGGATCTTGATGTTGATATTCCTACAAAATTACAAAATTAACTACAATTGATTTTTAATTCTGGCAGTCAATGTTATCTGATGTCCAAGTCTTCTCTTCTTAGGGTTCAATTTCTTCAGAATTCGATAGAAGATACTCTATGCAAAAAATAGTTTTGTGGTCGTAATCCAGCAAGTAGGCACAATATGTATGGGAGATTTGTTGACATATATCACAAAAATTTGCTCATGGATTAGTATTATCTTAAGCTTTAACTGTATCTGTGTCATAAATCATATATGATTCTGTCATAATTACTATACTACAGCTAGTATTGTCATTTTGATTATAGAATCAACATACTTGTACATGGAGAGGTATATTTGACATCAGATCTTTCATTTTTACTGTCTACAGTATTATCTTCCTGCAAACTTCAATTGATGAAAAATAATTGTTCTATCTTGGGTAGGAAATACAATTATGCTCGAAACATTATTCTTGACACTAAAATAATCTTTCATCGCTGTCAGGCAGATTGAGAAATCTAAGGTGAACAATTTGCTCAAAGCCTAAAAATATTCACTCTGTATTTTCTGCTTATCATATGATGGTTACAAACACAGGGGATCACTAAAACTTCTTAAGAATCATATTCACAAGCTAAATTTAGATTTAAACCTCAACAAAATCTAGAGATACTGAAGTTAAGCCCAGCCCAACTAGGTAGCAATTGGAATGGATAATTCAAAGAATTATAAATGAAACATCTAGCAATCAGTGATTATCAATCAAAGAAAAAGCATTCCACCCCTAGTGGACATAAGTCAAAAAGACAAAACAACCTTATAGATGTCAGCTTAATTAGTCAATAAGATGGATTTGAATTTGCTCATTTAATAACTCAGCTATTAAAAACAAAAATTAAAATTAAATTACCTTGCCTTCATAAAAACCACTCTGAGTATCACTCTCCTGTTCAGAATTTGTCACATTCTCAAGTGGAAACCACTGACTGTCACTTTGAGACCATTTAAAACATTTTATATGATCAAGCACTGTTACAAACTTCAGTTGACCATCAAATTCACCCTCATCGGTAACTTGTTCAGCAGGAACAAACTTGTTTACATCACTAACTGGTTCAGCCCTACAAAAAGTAAATTTATCTCAGTTAAAGCTATATCTTCAAATATAATGAAATAAATGATAAATTCATATTTATTATCAAATTGCAGAAGGATCAAATTAAGGAAATATCAGTAAAAACTATCATTATATAATATAATATCCACATAAATTATCCATTATTTAGAAATGACTAATGATAGAATGTACACGATTCTTCTAGCAGAATGTGACATACTACAGCCTTCAACTGATTTTAAAAGAAAAATAAACTTAAATTTTTCCTAAATATATTTAGTTTAATATTACATGATTATTCTTTGGCATTTTAACTCAAGACAACAGTGTTAAATTAATATGTATTTTTTTGTTATAATTATGTTATATTTTAAAGCTCAAAAAACATATAGGTAAGCTCTTTAATTGTTTTATGTTCACTATGGATGTTCAGGATATGAGTGAACACCCTAATTGTGTATTGTATCTAAGATCTTTTATAGACGTGATTTATTCAATTAAAATAAAAGAATTTAATTACACGTTATTACAACACAAGTTAATTCTAACACTAATCCAATATAACAATACAAGAAGGTATTTTCTAATAAATAATCATTAACATCTGATTTAAAGATAAGTAACAGTTGAAGTGTTTAAAGGTTGCACAAGTAACCTTACACCTCCCCCCTGGAGGTCGCTTCTTGAGGCGGCGGCGGGAAGTAAGGAAGCAGCTTGCTGGAGTGGAACAAGTTTGAGACGTTCTTCCTCTTTCTGCTGGCTACTTCATAGAACAACGAAGAAATCCGTCTGACGACTGGGAATGGTCCAATCCGAACTGGATCAAGCTTATTGCAACTTAATTTATTGCCATTCTCGACGTAGACTAAATCGCCAACGTTGAAAGTATGTTCCGTTCTATTCCTATCAACGCGTTTCTTATTGATACTGAAACTCCTCGTTGAATTCCGGAAAGCTATCTTGCGGTCTTCTTCTAAAGAGGATGGAGTGTTTCCAAGTGGAGATATAGAAGATTGATGGCCGAACAATAGATACGATGGTTCAAAGTGGGTGGAACTATGGATGGTATTATTGTATTCGTTCACACATTCTTCTGCCAAGGTAGACCAGGCTCTTCTATTGCCATTGTTTATCTTACATCGCAGGCGATTCACTAAGGTCTGATTCAATCTTTCATTTAATCCGTTGGAACTGGGATTGTCAATGCATGTGAAAACGATCTGAGTCCCAACACTTCTCAAATATTTCAGGAAAAAAGTTGAGTTAATACCTGTATATTGGTCAGCCAGTAGAATCGAGATATTATGTTGTTTAACTACAGGATCGAGTAAGTTTATGAAATCTTTAGCTGTTTGACCCTTTGTTGTAGAGATCCATGCAAATCTTGTGAAGTGGTCAACGAGAATGTGCATGTAACGTTTGGAAGAGCGGTTCCCTCCGAAACCTCCGACACTGTCGAGCGACATGATCTGGAAAGGCTCTGTGGCTGGGCCGAGACGGGAGAGCAGGCCGATGGCACGACTACGACGAGTTTTGTTCTCAATACAAATCTTGCAACTCCTATAGAAGTCATTAATTGCTTTATCTAGGCCCTTGAAATAGTAATATGGTCTGATAGTTGCTTTCATGTGAGATGGGCCGATATGGCCATAGTGTTGATGAATGATTTTAATAATTTCTTTTCCAAATGCTTGGGATACAAAAATTCTTGATTTCTTCCTAATATTTTTGAAAATTATGCCCTGCTTTGATAAAATCTGGTCAGTCGCTCTCAGCTCTGAAAAATTATCAGCCTGGTCTTTTTTTATGGCTGACAAGTCTATTAAGTTGGTGATCCGGATTGAATCTTCATTCTCGAAGTGTTCAATGACTGGATTTCTGGAGAGTAGATCAGCCAGAACGTTATCTTTTCCCTGTTTATAGATAATATCAAAGTTGAACTGGGATAAATAAAGAATCAAATCTCCCAGAATTTCATCAGATCTGGCTTTTGTCCTCAAGTTTTCTAAAGGCTTGTGATCACAGCAAACTGTAAAGTGACGTCCAATTAAGTAGTATTGCCAGAACTTAATCGCATCTTTAATGGCTTTGCATTCCAAGTGAATAACATCTAAACGTTTCTCACGTTCTGAAAGCTTGCGTGAGTAGTAAGCGACAGGATGAAGTAGGCCATCTTCTTGTGGTTGCTTTAGGGTTGCTCCGATACCTTTTAAGCTTGCATCTGTCTCTATGAAGACAGGCTTCTCAATATCATATATAGCGAGGACCGGGGAACTGCACAAAAAGTTTTTTATCATATTGAAAACTTCTTCACATTCATCTGACCACTCGAATTTAACATTTTTCTTCAATAACCGATGCAATGGTTCTAGTTTGACAGCACTTTGTTCTATGTACTTCAAATAAAAGTTTATGGAGCCTAAAATGCTCCGAACACCTGTCTTGTCTGAGGGCCTCTGGAGTTTCTGAATCGATATTAAATTATCTTGGGCGGGTGACACTTTATTTTTCGAAAACTTGTGTCCTAGATACTTTACTGATTTCGCACCAAACAGACATTTTTCTATTTTCAGTTTGAAACCTTCAGTGATCATAACTTCTAAAGCCTTGCTGATATGCTGAAGATGGTCTTCCCAATTCCGAGAAAAAATTAAAATATCATCAATGTAGTTTATGCATAAATTGTCCAGGTTATTTCTTCTTATAATGTTGGATAGTATTCTCTGGACTATAGCGGAAGCATTTTTAATACCAAACGGAAGAACTTTAAACATAAATTTTCTATATTTCGTAATAAAAGAGGTCTTTTCCCGATCCCGCTCACGAAGCGATATGCACCAAAATGCAGAATTGATGTCCAAAACGGTGAAGAATTCACAATTAGCTACTCTATCAATTACATCTTGAATAGTAGGAAACGGGAAACATTCAGGAACTACTAATTTGTTTAGCTTTCGGAAATCTATGCAGAGTCGAGATTTCCTCTTTTCTTCCTTTTTGTAGGCCAGTGTGACGGGCGAAGAAAATGGGGAGTCTGATTCTTCGATGATCCCAGCTTGCAAGAGTCCTTTTATTTGGCTTCGTATTTCATCGTCATCTGGGATAGAACATTTATAAGGGCGAGAAGTGACAAACTCATCTCTGATTAGTTTTATTTCTGCTTCTCGTGAATGAACTTTACCTATGTCGAACTTGTCTTTAGCAAAAATATGTTGGTATTTTTTTAGTAAATATGAAATCTGTTTTTTGTGCTCCTCTTGTTCAATATGCTGTACACTTCTTAAGTTCTTACAAGTAGTTGTATTCTGGTTTTGAAGAGGACCGTATGTCTCAATCTGATCAAGTTTTGACCGTGTTAAATTTATATTTCTATCTTTTCTATCTATTATATCAGAAGAGAGATCTTCTGATGTTATGATTTTTGTGTCATTGGTACGTTGCAAAATTCTTAGATTCTCATCTTGTAGTAATTTAAATTTCTTGATGGCATCTATACCTAGTAATAAATCATAGGAGAAATTATTATTCTTGACTACATATGTTGTAATGTAATCAGTAATGTCTCCAATACGGAGTCTAATTTTAGCCCGGGCTGAGGTGAAATTAAGTCCGCCGATAGTTCTTAACGCTGCTCTTTGTTTAATTAACTTCAACTTCAGCAAATCAGCAATTTGTTGATTTATTAATGTTACATTTGAGCCACTATCATAAATAGCCTTAATTTTAATACTGTCATTTATAACAACATTTAGTTTAATCAGCGGATCTAACTTCGCCCGGCTTTCTAGTTTAAATGTTCTGAATCAAGATCGATTTCGCTTAAATCGAGATCAGTTTGATTTATTTTTGGTTGGTTTGGAGTTTTATTTTTGTTACGACATTCGGACATTAAATGATAACGATTGTGAAAACCGAGGGTTTCGCAGTGAGAACATGGCTTACGCTGATAATTACTCTTATGCTGTGGTTCGCCTTTTTTATAATAATTTAAAGCGGGATTCACAATAGATTTTGGATTTGATAGTTTTTCTTCCTTCTTTTTTATAAACGCATCTTCTAATTTTCGTAGTTTTGAGTATAATTCATACAAATTACAAATTTTTTCTCGATCGAGTTTCAACTGAGCCTCATTTGGCAAACCGAAAACAATCTGGTTTATACGGGAGATATCCGTGCCTTTAGGCTCTATGTCAAGTAATAATCTCTCCTTGGTGAGGGCATAGTCGACTAGGGATCCGCCTAAATATTTGTAGCCTAAAGCTCTTTTCACAAGAGACCAGCCTTTATCAACAAAAATATTCTTAAAAGAGTCCCTCCATATGCCCCATGAATCGTTCAGACCAATCTTCTCCAATTATTCTCATACCAATCATTAGCCGGACCATTAATGAGATAAAAACGTAACGCTTGAATTTTTAAATTATCGGATTTTATCTGAAATCGACAACATTCTTCTTCGAACCTACGTAGCCACTCTATAGGATCTGATTGCTTTTTATCAAATGGTTCTAAAATAAAATTTTTTTCAATATGATGCAGTTTAATTTCATTTTGTTCCGAATTAATTTTTAATTGCATCTCTAATCGTTTAATATGATCTTCTAATTCTGATTGAGTGTCTGTAGGTCTGCAAGGAATTGTTTTTGGAAGACATTCCTCCAATGGTAACTCTCTAAAACAAATATTAGATGATTCATCAAAATATTCCTTTTTAATGTCATCATCAATCTTAACCCCTATTGTTCTATAACCATTAACATTTTTTATAGCATACACAGCATTTAATAAAGGTTTCTTACTTGATAGAGACGTATGAAATTTCAAGTCCTGGGTGTCTTCTGGTAATAAAAACCAATTTCTTTTGTCGACTGAAACACAATGAACCACAAAGTCTTCCTCACTTCTCTTCACAATTTGAACGTATAGAAGAGTCATTTCTTATGTGTTGAGATCTTGTAATTAAATTTCTAAGATCTTTTATAGACGTGATTTATTCAATTAAAG